TTAAGAACCTTTGTTCTCCATTGGTTATCGATTCTTCGAACTATAAGGCTGGCGCATAGCCACTTTAGTATTTTGCGTGATATAGCCATGTTGCAGCTTAATTATGACTGTACCACGAATGAGCCGGCTCGACTGGTGAAAGAGCGCACGCTCTCACAGAATACCAGCGTAAAATAGCAACTTAATGCTGCTTTGTTTCGTATGGTGAATGAAGGGAACCGGAGACACTTTTTACTGGAAACAAGACATTCCGAATTAGTGCTAAGGGATGACAACGTATCTGCATTTTAATTCTAATAAGATAGATGCAGATGTAAATGTCTATGGGCCACAGCATTCACTTACCATCAGGTGGCTGTGTGCTCGTTTGTCACCCCTATTCCATACTACTTTTACGGCGGATATCCTCATTTCTAAATATATCACGTGAATAAACTCCAAGCGCAGCCCTCTCCATAGCTCGCTAAGCGACCTTGATCTTCCAGCCAGCAGTCCGCGTCATAAATTCATATGCCGTCACTGGCAAATGGTAAACCACACTAGTTCTACAATCTTGTTATCAAGTTTTGAGGTTTACGTGACGAGAAGATGTGTCGTATCCTCCCGAATGCTGCCCAGCTAAGTTGAATTCGTCGACTGACCCCTCGGTCAAAGTTGGACTTACCTAGTCGGACAATTTCCCACTATCACTTCACACCGCTGAAGGGACTGTAGTGTACCACCCAAATTTCGACGGAATCAAAGATTATTTCATAGTCCACATACGCAAGATAAAGTGGCAGATTGTACTGCTCGCTCTTCTATAGAATTTGCCAAAAGATATGTATGTAGTCTATGGTATAAAAGCCTATTACTAAACCGACTTGTTCGGGAGGCGAGCCGATTCGTATTGACTCTCGAAAACAACACGTAGACGCGGATGAGAATGGAAATCTGTCTGTAATTTTTAATTTAGCGTGATCGCCTTTCTTGAAGATCAAGATCACTGATCTTCTGCTTCAAGCCTTCGGAGTATTGTCACCATAGAAAACAGAATTGAAGAGCTTCTGGAGGACTGTAAGACTTTTTTATGTGGTAGAGTCGACCGGAGTAGTACCACACACTCACAGAATACCAGCGTAAAATAGCAGATTAATACTGCAATGTTTCGTAAGGTGAGTGTAGAGAGCTATAGACCATTTTTACTGGAAACGAAGCATTCCATCTCAGTCCTCGGGGGTGACAACACATCTGCATTTTGATTCTTAATTGAGGATAAATATATATGTCTATGAGCCATAGCATCCACTTACCATCACGTGGACTGCGTGCTCGTTTGTCACCCTTATTCTATTAAAAAGAGATATTACTTGAATCTGTACATTTTAAACTTATTCAGAATTTAAAAATGAAATTCATCGTGGCTGAGGAGCCAAATCCGCACTCACTTTAAGGTATTATTATCCTCAATATATCGCGCTTGATAACAATGTTTGCCTCTTACGTAAATAATCTGCAAAAAATAATGGAACACCCGAGAGACGGTCAAGTGAACAATCCATCACAGTGACCCTCGATAAACGACCGTCCGACGTCAGCGATTGTATTGACGGAGCGCTTCACCGCACCCCTCCACTTTTTAACGGCCATTTCACCCACTTCATTCCGTTTTCTTTATGAGAGTTTCCGCCTTGAAACGTTTTTCAGTTTGACAAATATAATTTTACAAGTGCTTTTGAATTTCGGCCAGTACCTATATTAGTACCGATTTTTAGTTTTTAAAATTTGAAAATAAAATTCCTATGTCCGTATCAATCTCATGTGCATTCTTTTATTGTATGTGGAGTTAAACATAGCATATATTTAATATTCTTTTATATAATATTGTATGCATGCTCGTTTGCCCCCTTATGTGTTTGATATTATGCAAGCATGCGGCTCACCTGATGATAAGTGACTACCGCTGCCCATGAACAAATGCAACACAAGAGTAATAATTGTAAATGCAATACATGTCTTTTCTTAAAGGTCTCTAAGTCGTTTCGATCGCTTGTGGTAGTCGATTCAGTAAGTTGTACGAGGAAGAAAACTTCTAGTAAATCGCACAGTGGTGTACGCCCAATCATCCAGATGGTATGGATGATATCACGAGTTTTTTCACGACGTGCTATGGTGAAATTTAGCGACTGGAATTAATCCGTACAATGTCTTTGAGCACTCCCCATGGTAGATGCTATAGAATGCAAAAAGATGTAGCATCTCTTTATAAAATACATAAAGAGATGTATGTTACATAATTTTAATGGTTTTTTATTTACTAATAAACTATACTTTAACTATAACCCCGTATTTAAATAAATAAAAACTGGCCAAATGCGTGTCGGGCCACGCACAATGTAGAGGTAGGGTTTCGTAGTTGCCTGTCACAATACGTGAATTTAGTTTTCGTTTAGACCGCTGTATTGACTAAAAATGGGCCCAAATAAGGCGGGTGTAACTGAAGGACTTGTTTTCCAGCAAACGTATAGAGATTAGTATTATTAAACTAAAATTAAATAAAAAATAATGTTCAATATTGAAAATAACACAATCTACATCAAACCATTCACATACCAAGTCCGTACAAAAATGGTTATAGTCATACTCGTAGTTCCCTATCCATCTATTAGTTCCCGACAGTGCAACCCTAAGCATTCATGAAAACTCCTACTGCCCTAAACTATCCTGAGAGTTGCCCACGTGAACCAAGAGTACTACGAATGAAACTGTATGAGGCTGTATGAATGTATACTGCCAACTAAAAATTTGTGAAAGTGGTAAGTCAGGATCGGTCTCTAGCCGATTGATCCTCACTGCCTACCCCGCAAAGGAAAAAGTAAAGATGGTAAAGCTTTTGTAGTAATGCTAATTCGATAGTCGATTTCTTTAAAAATGTTTTTTTCTTACAGTTCACAATAACATTACAAAGTTATAATGCAGCTAGTTTGAGGTCCTTTTCTACGGAATTTTAACGAAATTTTTATTAATCCAAATGTATTCTATAAGTTAGTCGACTATTACTCGTTAACTTATCTACTTATTTGTGATAGTTTTTCTTTTAACTTAATTATATAAACTACTATCGTCTATACTTTTCAGTTTGCCCAAAATCAGTGGTTTAGTTGGTAGAGACACATGACTCTAATAAAAAATACCACTTAAAAATTTTATATTTCACAAACGGACACCGCTCTCGAAGAAATGCTGTTCCATAACTATAGTTTGTCTTATTATCCTTGCCATGATCCTCAGGATTTACGAATAATTCATAACACAACTACGATTTCTGTAGTTCAATCTACTGTAAGCCGCGTAAAATACTTCGTTCCAAAAAAAAACACGCTTTTTTAGTATGCGGCACTAAAAAATAGAAAATAAATAATAGTTTAAAAAACTAAAAACACACTTGTTCATAACCGAACAAAAAAGTATCCTCACAGAATACCAGCGTGAAGTAGAGGTTTAACTCTGCGTTTCGCTTGGTGAGTGCAGGTGGCCGGAGGCCCTTTTTACTGGAAATGAGGCATTCCATCTTAGTCCTCACGGGTGACAAAGCGTCTACATTTTGATTTGTAATAGAGGATAGATGTAGATGTCTATGGGCCGCAGCAACCACTTACCATCAGGTGGACTGTGTGCTCGTTTGTCACCCTTATCCTATAAAAAAAAGTAGAAAATAATTTTCAATAACTTTGATATAAGAAAATAGTGATTAACTTAAAAAAATATTTTATTTTAAAAAAGCGTGGGGTGCTTCGTATTATTCGTTGTAAATATTTTTGTAGACATTTATAAAATTAGCGTCATCATAGTAAGTACTGAAAAAGCACCCCACGCTTTTTTCAAATAAAATGATTTTTTATGTTAATCTCTATGTTCTTATTTTAAACATTTTAAAATCATTTCCTGCTTTTTAGTGTGGTTATGTACAAAAGCGTGTTATTTAGTTTTTTTTAAACTATTATTTATTATTTTTTGAATTCAAAATGTGTGGCAATGCATTATTTGATGATTTTACTGCGCACGCGCACATTCGTAATGGTTGATCGGTAGGCAAAAACGTTGTTGCCCATAAATCACATTTAATTTGGGATAATTTCAAATAAAAGCAGAAGCCTTATTTACTCGTATTTTCAAAAACTGCAATAACGTTATATCATTATTTATATATTTGAACTTAAGTTTAAATTTTGCCTACTCTTTGAAAATTAACCCTGTGTGTATTTTGTTTTTATTTTCATGTTTAATATAATATTCTGCTTCCAACATCGCCTCTTGTCGATGGTTACCGAACCTGATGTAAAGTGATGTAACGACGAGAGCCGTCTAAGATATAATAGACCACAAATTCTCGTAAAAGTATACCGAATCCTACTAAGGATTATTTTTTTAAACTTAAATGTCACCCCCTACACTTGGATTTTCTCCTGTATCGTGGTGTCAGTTTAAATATATAAATTACTCAAAGACAAACATCTATAATTGAGGCTATTGAAATTACAAAACATCCTAATTTTAATAGAGAAGACAGCTGGGTACTACTACTTACTCGGGATCCTGTAATTAATAAAATTAAATCCAACCTATCGTAAATATCAAGATACAGTAAGCTATTTTTGCGTAGTTTTGATCAAAACGAATAATTAAAAGTTGAAAGCACTGGGCTAACTATAACATCGGGACGTCAAACATATCAGTTCGTCACGTAGCCAAGGGTGCTGTAAAGCACTCGAAACATCGGGAGTTAAAATAAGTAACATTCAATGCGATAATATCCGCAAAAGTTAATGTAGTTTTATTCAAAGTGTAAATATAATACATTATTATTATTTCACTCTTCATCTTCGCAAAAGAAAATTAATAACCCCTTAAAATATAACGTACGTAATTGTCAGTATGTGCTCGCTCTAACGCAATTGTACATAGTGTTTAGGTGGAAGATGATTATTTAACTCTAGCTGAATAAAGGAATTTCCTTTCAGGAGGAGCTACGAGATAACTTAACTGTAAGCGTAATGAGCTTCGTACCGACTCTAGACGACGACGGCAAGCCGCTCACCTGCAGGGCGGAAAACCCGAATGTTACCTCATTGTTCCTGGAAACGTCGTGGGTTATCAGTGTCGTTTGTGAGTATCTTTCTTTCCATTATATTTGTTTATAACAAGATTAAATTCTTATCTATGGCTTCCTACAATGTTAACCATAATGCAGCTTTACAATGTTAACTGTAGAGAACCGGAACCCTTTTTCCTGATTGTCCCCGGAAAGGGGGTTAATATTTTTCGAATGTATTTTTGTATATATTTATATATGTATGTATGTATGATTATTTTTGTCGTCTTAGTAGTGGAAGTGAGATATTATATAAAACTTTTCTCTTTTCAGTAAACTTTAAACGCAGTCGTTTTTTTTTTTAGTTACCGTTTTAACAATTGGATTTGTTACCTGTAATAAAGCATTCTTACTTAGTCCTTGGGGGTAACAACGCATCTAGATTTTGATTGTTAATTGAGGATAGATGTACTTATCAATGGGTCACAGCATCCATTTACTAACAGGTGTACTGTGTGATTGAGTATCACCATATAAGAACAAAAACTGTAAGGAACTTATGTACATTTAACATAATATATTACATGTAGTGTATTTAGTGTAGACTGCATAAAGTCTGTTATCCAGCAATTGCATTAAAATGATATTGCCATTGAATTATTTATTTAGTTCTAGAAATGATCACCAATAATTGTCAGATGATTTCAATATCTTAAAGTTAGTTTAGTCAAAAAAAAAAAAGAAAATATTTAAGAATATGAGAAACTAAGTATTATCAGAAAGAAGTAACAAGGAAGTTAGAAATACGAAACTCTTTAAACCTTGGCATCAACTTCTGTAGTTTAAAAGATTAAAGTGCAAATTATGACATAACTATGATAAAAAAAAACATTTTTAAAATAGTGTAAAAAAGTATGGAAAGTTTGTTTTAATAAGGAAACAAAATATAATGTTTAATTCTGCTTATTAACGCATATTATTCAATTTGACGACTACAGCCATCAATTTATAACCACGTTTTTATTAACTCGCTTTTGTTTATGTCTGTTCGGGACAAATTTAGAAATTGATTTTAAACTAACTTCTCGACGAGTTAGAGACTTGAAATTTTGAACAACATTATTATTATTATACATGAAAAGTATAAATGTGCCCAAAATACGATGTATCAAAACTAAAAACTATGTAACAGTTCCTTCGTTCCTTTAAGCCAAGCATAAACGTTAATATTAAGAATAGAGTAAAATAATTTTTATTCAATACTAGCGATTCGCCACGGTTTCGCACGGGTGATTTCTGTATATCGACAACACCGCCATGTACCGGGTCCAATTGTGAATCTAAACCATCCAAGAACCCACTCTAATACACACAAAAAATTTGATCAAACGAGCTATTTTCGAGTTTTTGCGGAACTTTTTTTTTTATAGGAGAGGGGGCAAACGAGCATGCGGCTCACCTGATGGTAAGTGACTACCGCCGCCAATGAACAACTGCAACACCAGGGGAATCGCAGATGCGTTGCCGGCCTTATAAAAAGGAGTACGCTCTTTTCTTGAAGGTCCCTAAGTCGTATCGGTCCGGAAAAATCGCTGATGGTAATCGATTCCACAAGAAGGTCGTGCGAGGAAGAAAACATCTTCTAAATCGCACAGTGGTGGACCGCCAATCATCCAGATAGTGTGGATGGTATCGGGAGTTCTGCCGCGATGTGCGTTCGTGAAATTTGGCGGCTGGGATTAAACCGAACAATTCCTCAGAGCACTCCCCATGGTAGATGCGAAAGAAAATGCAAAGGTGCATCTCTTCGCAGTGCCAATGAATCTAGCCGATCGGAAAGGGCTCGGTCGTCGACGATTCGAGCAGCTCTGCGTTGGATGCGGTCAAGTGGAAGGAGCTGGCACTGGGGAGCCCCTGCCCAGAGATGGGAACAGTATTCCATGTGAGGAACTAACGAATAGCCATTGGTTTTTATAAATAGAGATAGATTATAACAAAATACTTATTGAAAGTCAATTTTTTTACTTACCACGGATTCGGAAAATGCCTCTGACCCAGAAAGAACTAGCAAGAAACCAAGAAGGATTATAAGTTTTTAGACATATGTCTATAATAAAATTGTACAATTTCATATCAATTGTAATATAACCGGCATGGTAACGATCACTTCATTCTCGGGGGTCTTGGGGATGTTTTTATTATTTTAATTTATTTATATGTTAAGAAATAATTACATACAGGATTATATATGTGTACCACTTTTTATCATTCTTAATATTGCCTCAATTTTATCGGCTTGTTAGTTAATTTGTGAATCCTTCAGACCCACCAGTCGTGAGGCTGCGGCTCGGGAGCTCGTTAGCGGCCGGCGACATCAAAGAGGGCGACGACGTGTACTTCGAGTGCCACGTTCGAGCTAACCCTGCCGTCAGAAAACTCTCATGGCTGCATGACGTAAGTGATCTGTCGACAAATTAGCACGATCTTGAAATTTTAGAGCGGATAAATGCTTCTGCGGGACGTTTAATGTATTTTACTGGGGTTGCAAGAGCGAAATACCTTTTGTTCTCAAACCAACATAATCACATACAAAATTCATCAAAGTCGGTCCAGCCATTTAGGCGGAGTTCAGTCACCATTCACAAGGACAGAAGAAATATATATTAATTAGAAGTGGTTTCTCTTATGTCGCCACTACACGGCTAATTAATTACTTAGTTTTGATTTGATGTTATTAATAAGTACATATAGTGATTTTTGCCACTATATCGTATCATACAAACTCTTTTTTTATGCTGCTTTTATGCTTCTTTGCTATTCGGCATAATAAATACAAAGAATCCAGAATATTTATACAAAAAAATTTAATTGGAGAAATGACCAACATGTATATAAAACCCGAATATGCTCAAAAGTTTTTTGCATCCCTAAATACAAAACATCGGCTTTCCGAGGGAGTTTTAAGTTTATGGCAACTAAGTGTTGGAATGATCTCCCACCACCAATACGCACTACGACAAGTAAATCGAGTTTTAAAAAGAAATATAGACGTGACTTACTAAGAGAACAAATACTGTCATAAGCGGCTTATTTTTACCTAATTGCAGGACCGCCCTGTAAATACTTAAAACAAATAATAAACATTGCTATGTAGTAGGTGGGGAAACAACTTATATGAGATTAAAGAAGTTGGGCTTGTTAATATCAATGTTATTTTATAATTTATGTTACTTATTACTAGTCATATTGTTGTAATAATTATTTATTTAAAAAAAATGGTAATAAAAATATATATATTTGATTATTAATTTGAACTGGCTAATAGTCGGGGATCCACGGTATGTACCCTAATGTGAATAGTTGTGATTAAAGGGATGCGCGCGTACTGTACTGTTCATATGTTGGGCGCTGGCAGAATAACAGCGTTGTAGGCAACTGCAACATTTATGCTGAGCTAGAGCCCATTCATTACTACATTATGTAATTCTTGTTATTTCTCTATGTACTTTATTGGTGGTAATGAATAAATGCTTATTATTATTATTATTATTATTATATATTATGTAAGTGTTCAAAACAAATAAAAATCGGTGTTGAATAACATTCATTTCAAAATCTTGTTCGCTTGACAGATGTCCCGTTCAATTGAATTTTATTTTAAGATCAATGATATATAAACAGTGGAAAAGTTGCGAGTCCATGCGGCGGGGGCTGAGATCCTGCTCAAGACATGATAAAGAGGGTAAAATTTAGTAATATCAGTAAGGGTAGCATTTTTTCTAGAATTTGAGGCATGGGCGCTTGATAATATGTTCCTATGATAACACTTTCATATAAGTACATATGTATAATTTGTACAGTTACTTTACTAATTTATTTTGAATATTAACTAATTTATTTATATTTTATTTATATCGTGCTCCGGTTTAAAGTGTACACAGAAAAAGTATAACTACAGGTCTCGAGACCATCTAAATGTTCAGAGGTGACACGTAACTTTTAATTGTGAACAGATTTATTTCAGGGGTGAACCCATAATAATTTGGAGAAAAATCCATCCTTAATGGTAACAAAATAGGATGTGAAGTTTTTTATGTAAATATTTAGATGAAATCAAGATTGTGATATACCTCAGTCCATTAAAAGAGAAAAAAAAAACGTTTAATAAGAAGTTAAAATTGACTTCAAAGTATTAAAGTTATAGTTAAAATTACAGGTTATATACGTCCCACTGCTGAGCTCAGGCCTCCCTTCAATTCTGAGGGGGTTTTAGCACAAGGAAATGTTCGCCGCGCTGTCCCATTGCGTGTTGGTGAACTTCACATGTCTTCGAATTTTTTTTCTTATTTCTCAGACATGCAGGCTTCCTCACGATGTTTTCCTTCACCACCGAGCACGTGGTAAGTCAGCATTTAAATTTGCAAATTACAATTTCATTGGTGCCGGCGGGAATCGAACCCGCGTACTGTGAAACTTATAGCGAGCGCTAACCATCTGAGCTACCTCAGCTCCTCAAAGAATTAAAAATTATAAAATTATTTCACATTCTGAAGTCAGGGCTTAACTTTTCTGTACACTATGTCTTTGCACCAACTTAAGACTGCTATTATTTTATTATTTTTACCTCTTTGAAGTCGGCTTTTCCTTTTTAATAGGGTTAATTTTTTTCTTTCGTAACCGTTAGAAATCTGATAACGATTTTAATAAATAATGTAAAACGGAACGAACAGCAGTAATGGCCGGTAGAGTTTTGTCTTTGTTGTTATCATCAAAGCACTTTTTTTACCTTTTTTCCTTCATACCCACGAGCCCTAATTATTCGCTCCTTGTTACGAGTATATGGGTCTTGACTCACATTACAAGGCTCGTTATTTCTGAACATTAATATTTTTAAATGGCTTCGTATATTTTCATTAATTAAAAGAAAAGATTCCTCGATGAATGTTTCAATTTTTTGATAATGTCTTAAGTTGTGGAAATAACTTGTTCATCATGATGTTCATTATATTCATACGAACAAATATTGCTTTTTAACCTTCAATCGCAGTTGTTTGTAACGGCATCGGTGGCCTGTAACCTAAAATACCTATGGGATATGTCAGAAATTTAAAACACAAATAATTTTTTTTTGTACTCCGACACATTTACATTATGTAAGGACACAATTTGTCGAAAAAAAAAGCTTAAACTCGGATAAAAAGAAAATTATAAAATCTAAAAACATAAGTTCAATTTTCTTTGAATTAGAAAACTATTTAGTAGTAATCTTTAACTAGCTTAATTTAGTATAACGCAATCAAAATAATAAAATCAGTTGGCTCCATGATATCAAATAATTAAAATCAAAGTATTTATCATCCACTTAGGTTTAGTTATCTTCAGAATCGGTTTATTCGCCAAAGTGTGCAAATATTTCTTAGACATGATGTGCGTTATATGTGTTTGTTGCTGGATATATTTTGCAGCTTGTTCTACGTGTGCTGGAAGTACTACTACTACGGAAAACTCTGGCAATGAACCAAGTATTGCCAGTGTCTTTCACACTCATATTCTAATGCTCTCTTAAGTTTCTTTTGAGTTTTCTTGGAAGCTTTACCATCATAACTATTCTATGAACGTACTCTTTTTTTTAGTTCAATGACTAATTCCTGTAAATCTTTTCGTCTTTTCTGTATAACTACTTTATTTCCCCTCAATATGACCATGGAATTTATTTCGTAAATTTCCAGAAGACGAAAGAAGAGTGGCAATGGCCAGCTATAATCGAATCGAAATCGAATGCATTTTCACTTTTTAACTGTTACAATGAACACTATTTTAAGCATAATTCGATGGTAATTGTTGATATTCCCAAATATTATATCTCGTTTTGAGCGTCACGCTTAGTCTTTTCGACAACAGGCGCTTGGCGAGCTTCCGACGCCTGCGCCGCGACGTGTAATTTGTACATTGTACAATGTACTTTTTTTAAACTTTATCCCAACAGTAGTATTTTTCCTGTATCGTGAAGCTGGTTTACATACAAAAATTATAAAAGGTCACACATCCAGACCTGGAGAATTTTTTTGTAGGATATATAATAAAATTTTTGATGTAGTGTTGCATCCAAACGCTTAGCCACTACCGTCAAACTTTATTGACATTTTTTCTTTTTTATAATAATCCCTCACAAGTCAATTGCTGAACATTGGCCTCCCCAATGAATGCCTCAAAGCATGATCCTGAGCCATCTGCATCCATAGACTTACCGCCTATCTTCCTCTACGTTTTTATCGCCACTCCATCCAGGGAGGAGCATTTTTATGGGAGAAAATCCTAATGGATACCCTACTCTCTAGAGGAAGCAGGTATATTATCTTATAATACTACTGAACTAAACCCCATAATTGTTGGTTTTGGGTCCGGTTCCTGTTCGGCAGGTTGGAGTTGTTAATTCTGCTTGCGAGACAATTTATAATGGCTCTCAAAAACAGCACAAGCACATAGGTCAGTAGAACTCCATTAGAGTATTGGCACTTTTCTTGAATCTAGCCTATTACATTAAAATATGAGTAACTCATGACGTTACTTATATTTTCTTACCTACTTTTTAATCAACCATAAATTAGTGCAATTGTTTGAACACAAATTTCGTGAATTGTGAACAGCAATTTTCATGATTACAACTAATCTTCATAAACAAAATAAATGTTATCTCAAAATTGAGTAAATCATCTACTAATTCGAGATCCTTCAATTCCAAAACGTCATACTATCGTTACAAGATCAAATGGCTCAGAAAATTGGTCTCTTAGTATTGAGCGATAATTGGAGAATCTGAAAATGAAAAGAAATGCAAATTGGATTAGGTGACCTTGTTACCGCCTCTGCGCTCCAATCCATCGGATTTGATGTTACTATTAGATTTAAATAAGGAATGTCGTTATGTATTACTTCAGAAATCCAAAGGCCGCGGGTTAAAAATTAAAAAATATAAAAAGAGGAACGAATTTACAAAAATGTTAATTATATTTTTATGAGGAATAAAAGAAAAATAACAAGAAAACAACCTCTGCTCTATAAATACCATTACAAAATTTGTTTGTTTTTGAATTAATACCCTTATTATATTTTATTCATCCTTCTTTATTTATTATATTTATTTATTACAAAACTAATATCCATCGAATATTAGGCCATAAAAAGATTGAGAATTTACTTAGGAATTAGCTCGAAAGATTTAGTGGGGATGCCCTATAATATTTATTTTATATTTAATCAGACCAATTATGATTATTGTTATATTAATGGCTGTAGATTCTGAGCTAGAAATGCAGTCGGGGCTATCGTTTGAATAAACATATAAACTGATGGCTTTTATTAGGATTTACTCAAACATTTCTGATACAGTATTTAAGCGTACTTCTGTTCTCTTCTATTTTATTGCATAATCATTACGCCGAAAATGAGTAAAA